GGGAAAGGAGTGCTTCTATGGGAAGACAGAACCCAGCACATGGGACACCAGCAAGGTGGGTGCCAAAAAAGCTGAATGGCAAGGCTATATGAAGCTGGCCTTGGTGTTCTTTGCACATGGTGAGATAAAGAGAAAGAAGCCATTTTTTAAGTCCCCTTCAGAATATTTTCCCATTCAAAACATCCTAGAAGTCTGTGGTCCTGATACTCAGAGGTCAAAGTCAGCAGCTTGTAGCAATTCTGACGACGGTATGTCACACACCATTGGGACACACACAGACACACACACCCCATTTCGATTTGAACAACATGCGCCCAGGATGGAATCTTGTCAGTGATCATATATGTAAATTGTCATTTCAAACATAGAATAAAGGCTACTCCGAGATTTATTAAGCAAGAACTCGCACCCAGGGTTGAAATAGCCTGGATCCGAAATCTACTTTTTTGGGTGGGAGGGAACGCGGGGGAGGGGGGGGTTCTCTTTCGCTCCTCCAGCCCGTCCCTGTCTTGCGCAAAAGGAGCCTGGCGCTGGTCCCGTCCCATCCCACCCGGTCCCATAATTTAACCCGGGAGGGTAAGGAAGCCACGAGAGCCTGCAGGGGTGGGTGGGGTGGAACGGGTCCGGTGGCTGACTGGCTGGCTGGCGCTGTGGCCCCCCGGCCGGGCTGCAGGGGGAGCAGCAGTGGCGGGCGGCGCGACTCGGCGGCGGCGGCGGCCGCGGCGGCGCGGGGAAGATGGCGGCCGCGGCTCAGGCGCTGAGCTGCTCGGGGCTGCTGCTGGCCGCCGCCGCCCTGGCCCTGCTGACCGTGGCCATCGGCACCGACTCCTGGTATGAGACCGACGCACGGCGACACCGGGAACGCTGCCGGGGTTTCGGCCACAAGCGCAACGCCAATAGCAACGACCCGCCGGGTTCCATGTCAGCGCCCAGCCCGCATCTTCCACTCCGCGCCCGACCGCCTCGGGCCCTGGTAGCCGGCCAGACTCCGCCATCGGCTCGGCTCCCGGTTGCTGCGGCTGCCTTGGAATCGCAGTGCGGCCGCCGCTTCAACTCCACCGTCTCCGGCTTGTGGCGGCGCTGTCACCGCGCAGGCTTCGAACCCGAGAGCGAGGAGCTTATCCGGAAAGGTGCGGAGGGCAACGAGCGAGCGACGCGCCCCGTTCAGTGGGCAGGTTAGGCAGGCTGAGCGACGGGGCGAGGGGTTTTGGGGCGCCTTTCTCTTCCAGCTTATAGACTCTTTAAGGCGCCCCGGGAATGTCGCTGGCCAGGGTGCTGAACCGCTGAGGGAAATGCCTCCAAGTGTCGCTCTTTGTAGCTTAGCTGTTGAGCTCGGTTGTGGTGTGATAAGGACCCCCCCCCCGTCCTTTATTTGGAGGGTACCCTCTTGGTCCCTCCTCCCGCGGATTATCCTCGAAATATCAGGTTCCTGAGGTCCTGAAACCTTTTTTTTTCATCACATGGTAGCTAGAAAGCTCAAGAAGAGCTGACCGTAGAACGGACTCTTCACAAGTATAGGATTCATAAAATGGGTCTACTTCCTTAGCTCCGGAATTCTAGTGTTGCAGACTCTGTAGAATTTTCGGTTGCTATGTGCATGCACACCTCTAGTCACCTATAGAGTTGCTATGAACATGAAAAAATAATTACGGTGGTCCTCTGTGCAAATTCTGGTGACTTCAGATGAGCCAACTGATTGTGGATACGATTGGCAAGGTTTTTGGTGATTGCAGCATTTGGGGAAGCACTGCTGGGGCTGAATGGATGGATTATAAGCTGATTTGATTTTTCATATTTGATTTTTTTTTTCATATGAACACATCCCTTCCCAAAACGTCTTCCATCTGCTTAGATTTGGGAGCCCTTATTTGATTCAGTATATCCCTGGAAACATTACCCTTCCATTACATCAAAATCAGTGTCTTCTATCATCATATACAGCTAATACAAATAATACTGCATACACGTTATGGAATACAATCAATCTCATCAAATCCCTAGAATACAACTCTGGGCCATGTCTATGTGAATTGGAGGGGAGAGAGAAACTAAATTGTGGAGTCAGAGAGCAATGAAATACAGGAGTTGCAGAAAATGATAATTGCTTATTGATAGGAACCATTCAGAAAACAATTGCTGAATGTGGCATGCAGACATCCTGGCATTAGAGAGTTCTCTTTGTTTAATCATTTTAATTAATTCCAGCTCAGATATTTTTATAATGAAAGAAATAATTGTAATTCTTTTGCTGCAGAATTTTGAGATCAGTCACAGATGGTTTCCCTCATGTTTTTTTAAATAGTGACATGTCTGATGACAGATTTTATTCCTCTGACCAGGCATTGGCCACTTTGTCCAATATAGTTAAGATAGGTGCTTGTAATGTTCTGTATGTAACAGGTTAGTTAGCCTATGATAGTGTCTTGACTCATGCATATATAGGAATGTGAGAATTTTTAGGAGATTAATTTGCCCGACTAGGTGGAGATATTCTTTCTGCTCAGTAAACACAGAATTTATGCGATGAGATTATTCAAAGAATTCTTCTTGCTCTTTTGGTGTTGAACATTAGAGCAACAGATCAAAACCCTAAGCATATATTATACTTTTATGGTACATAAAAGTCATTTTTGATCTGGGAGAGGCTCCAAGGGGTATGGCTAATGATATTGTGACAGAGGCTACATGATTCATAACCTTTTGCAAAGCCTTATGGTAGCCACTTTGCTCAGTAATCTTCGTCCTACCCCCTCCGAATGGAAAACTAATGCAAACTAGGAAAAGTTTGAGAGGTTTTAGAGGTACAGTGGGTGCCTTAAATCTTCATTCCAAAAGCATCTGAAAATACAAATTTTCCAAAATTGAAAAAAAGAGAATAGTATCAATTGTACACCAACCTTGAGAATTGGAAATTAGGGGCATTGTGCTCCAGTGGTTCTTCTCCTTCCTCTGAGCTGGATCCAGTTAGTGTTAATGGGGGAAAGATCTAGCCCTAGACCTGTACTTGGCTTAGGTCTCCATGCTCTCTCTGCTCTTAGTTAAGATGTACCTGAAATCATTGGGTGACACAATCCATGAGCATGGGGTTAAATATTGTCACCTTTTATGCTAATGAGTGATACATTTCTACTCAGGCCAGTCAAAGGATGCAATAAAGGTCTCTATCCAATGTCTGGAGGTTCTGGAAGTTTGGATGGGGAAGAATAGGTTTTAAGCTTAGTCTGATAGTAAAATCAAGTCACTGTGGCTTATTTTTTATATATTTGCTTGTTAATTATGCAAATTTATATGGCCCTCCCATATCTATTCCATCAGCCAAAGCAAAGACCCCCAGCTTGATTCTATTAACATCCTTGCCTTATGGACTGATGGCAGTACCAAATTTTTAGGCCTTCCAAAGAATCAACACAGTCAGGGCACCTGGAGGTTCAGGGCACAGCTGTTCTATAGGGAAGACATAGCAACAAGACAGCAAGTTTCCTAGATCCCATAAAAGAACACTATTCTACAGAGAAGACTTGGAGCATGCCCCATCCTGCTAGATCGTGTAGAAACTACAAGACATAGGGAGGACCCCTATATTGGGTTCCAGTGAAGAGTGAGGGAGTACACTCTTCACTGGAACTCTTCAGATTTAATTATGGAAACTCTCTATATCTAGGAGACCCTAAAACCCAAAGCCATTCAATCTTCCTAAGGTTAAGATGAAGCCTATTTCTCCCATCCAGGCTCTCCTAGTATCCAGGTAGTGTGAGAGAGCATCCTTTGGGCAGGCCAGGAAAGAGATGAACTATATAATGAAATATTATCAGCATATTAATGATACCTAATGTTGTGCTGATGCATTACCTAACCCAGCAGTTTCATGTAGATGTTACATAGAAGTGGAGACAAGAGTTGAGCGTTGGGATACCTTACAGATCAGAGGCGTAGGACTGTACCTCTTCACCCACCAATTCTGATTGAAACCAACCTCAAACAAAGGAAGAGAACTGTTGAAAAACAATGACTCCCATTACCAACTCGTTGAACTGGTTCAAGGATCAAAGGTATTGAAAGTCACTGATAAATTAAAAAGGGCCAGAACAGAGACACAATCCCTTACCAAAAGTTACCTTGGTGCTATACTCTGGCCTGATGATGTCCAGATAATCCATTTCCTTCAGGGCCTCTGCTATAGTGAGCTTTTCAACTTTTCAACAACCTTCCTGAAAAGGGGGGGGGGGGTTTGGAAATGGGATCAAACTTGTCCAGAATTGTTAGATCCAGTGATGACCTTTTGAGGAGAGGGAAAATAGCAG